CCATGTGCAGAATTCGTGGCAGGCGCAGCACTTTGTGAACCTCCATGTGCAGAGTTCGTGGCAGGCACAGCACTTTGTGACCTCGATGTGCAGGTTTCGTAGCAGGCGCAGCACTTTGTCAACCTCCATGTGCAGATTGCGTGGCAGGCACAGCACTTTGTGAACCACCATGCTTCTCCAAACCTCGACGGGGAAGCTCCCCGGAACGACGGTTGCGAGACGGTCTGGGGTCATGGTCGGATCATGGTCGGATCATGCTCGGAATCGTCCCATTGTGGTTAGAGGTTTCAGTTGTTTCAGATTTCGTGGCAGGCGCAGCACTTTGTGAACCTCCATGTGCAGATTTCGTGGCAGGCACAGCACTGTGTGAACCTCCATGTGCAGAGTTCGTGGCAGGCGCAGCACTTAGTGAACCTCGATGTGCAGATTGCGTGGCAGGCACAGCACTTTGCGAACCTCCATGTGCAGATTTCGTGGCAGGCGCAGCACTTTGTGAACCTCCATGCGCAGATTTCGTGGCAGGTGCAGCACTTTGTGAACCTCCATGTGCAGATTTCGTAGCAGGCACAGCACTGTGTGAACCTCCATGTGCAGATTTCGTGGCAGGCACAGCACTGTGTGAACCTCCATGTGAAGATTTTGTGGCAGGCACAGCACTGTGTGAACCTCGAGGTGCAGATTTCGTGGCAGGCGCAGCGCTTTGTGTACCTCCATGTGCAGATTTCGTGCAGGTGCAGCACTTTGTGAACCTCCATGTGCAGATTTCGTGCCAGGCACAGCACTTTGTGAACCTCCATGTGCAGATTTCGTGGCAGGCACAGCACTTTGTGAACCTCCATGTGCAGATTTCGTGGCAGGCACAGCATCTGTGGAGCTGGAAGCTGAGAACTGGCGACTTTGTAGTATAACTTTAGTACGCGGAGTATCTGCGGAGCTGGAAGATGAGAACTGGCGACTTTGTAGTACAACTTTAGTACGCGGAGCAATCTGTGGAGCTGGAAGCTGAGAACTGGCGACTTTGTAGTGCAACTTTAGTACGTGGAGTATCTGTGGAGCTGGAAGCTGAGAACTGGCGACTACAACTCTAGTACGCGGAGCAAGCCGTGGAGCTGGAAGCTGAGAACTGGTGACTTTGTAGTACAACTTTAGTACGCGGAGTATCTGCGGAGCTGGAAGATGAGAACTGGCGACTTTGTAGTACAACTTTAGTACGCGAAGCAATCTGTGGAGCTGGAAGCTGAGAACTGGCGACTTTGTAGTACAACTGTAGTACGCGGAGCGACTTTGTAGTACAACTGTAGTACGCGGAGCAAGCCGTGGAGCTGGAAGCTGAGAACTGGCGACTTTGTAGTACAACTTTAGTACGCGGAGCAATCTGGGGAGCTGGAAGCTGAGAACTGGCGAACTTGTAGTGCAACTTTAGTACGCGGAGTATCTGGGGAGCTGGAAGCTGAGAACTGGCGACTTTGTAGTACAACTCTAGTGCGCGGAGCAAGCCGTGGAGCTGGAAGCTGAGAACTGGCGACTTTGAAGTACAACTGTAGTACGCGGAGCAATCTTGGGAGCTGAGAACTGGCGACTTTGTAGTACAACTTTAGTACGCGGCTGAGTCATCTCTATTCTGTATTTTGCAAAAATGCATGAACAACGTTTTTTTCCTGCGAGACAGTTGACGGTGGTTGCTTCGCTTTCGCTCCATTGGTCGGTTCCAACTTGTTTTGTCAAAGAACATCGCAGCTCGGCGAATCAGCCTGCCACATGCCCATTTCCTATAGGTATATTCTTTTGGAAACTTCCGCCGCCGGCTTGCCCGGGAACTACTTGTAACTACGAATAGACCATATAGACCAAAGCTGACTTTCTTCAGTGCATCTTCCTCACAAGTTTCAAGTTGAAGAACAACCGTTTTTCCGCGTCGCCCGCGCGCGGTCGACCGGACGTCGCCCGCTCCCGGACCACAGCTTCGCCACGGCATAGATGACCTCGGTCGACCGGCCCGCGGCCGCGCGGGGCCGAAACGGAACGTGGAAACGAGAAAAGAGCAAACAGAACATCGCTACGAACGGGGCTAAGGCGGCCTTAGTACTAGGAACAAGGTTCGCTACTAGAAGCAAGGGCAGAAGACAAAGAGATGGAGTTGGAAGCTGGCGAAGATCTTCAGATCCGAGATTTTGTTGCGTTCTTATCAAGAGTTGGGTACTTATACCTTCAGGTGGAACGATGGGTCCTCACAAATCTCAGAATGTTTGTGTGGGTTTGTGTGCTCGTTCGAAACCCTCTGGCGACTAAAGCAGCTATGACCTGACGACTGGCACGTGAAGAAGTCAGTCAGGCATCTTCCCTCATGACCATCTTGTAAGCCTCGTAAGTCATGTCAGGCATCTTCCCTCTTCAGTCGTCTCACGCCGCGCGCGTCGCGTAACGTTCCACACCGACCGCGTGGAACGCTGTTGGTTCGTGGTGCCGAGAGTCGGAACCACTGGTCATCAACCACCAGCAGAGCAGCATCGCGGCGATGTGTCCAAAGAAGAGGATGGGCATCGTGGTGAACCTCACAGAGGTCGAGAGTGGGCAGCGTCGCGTGGTGTTTGAAGGATCTGGATCCAGACACGGAGGTGGAACGTCCTCTGGTTTTGGGTAGAGGACCATGGTCATCCAAGGGCTATTCTCTTCTATGTGATTTCTCGTTCCGAGTGTCATGTCTACCCCAAACACTCAGCTGGGACTGCCATGTTTCAGCTGGGATGTTGTCTGACATCTAGGGAGTGTCGTCTCAGATGTTGTCTCAGTGTCATCGCTCACGGACTTGCAGGTTTTCGGGTCGTGAACAGCTGGGGCGACTGGGGAGTGAAAAACACCCGAGCTTCGGTTTCTGCCCAGAGCTTGGTGACCTTCGTTTGAGTCCAACAGTGTCCCCGAAATCACCACCGAGCACTGAAAAAAAAGACATGCTCTATTGTGGATATATCCTGGTCCTAGTCATCCCGGGCCCAGTGGATGATGATGGTTCAGTTGCAGGCCGACATCTCTAAAATAGTGATGTTCTTGTGAAACCCGACTGCTACAGGTAGCAGGACAGGCCCATGTTCTATTGTTTTCTTCCTTCATGTCATTGCTCAGATTCTCCCTCCAGCTGCGGGTCCGAAAGCGGGTCCCTGGGCTCCCAGACTGCATGGCACAATAGGCCGCCAGAGCTGCTCCCGCCACCACCACCAGCAAAGCAACCCACGAAAACCAGGCCATGGCAAGAGAAGGCCGAGAAGGCGGTTTTCGGTTGCTCCACCCACGGTTCTCGGATCTTGATGGTACCAAACATGGCACCTGGGCCAGGAAGCCTAGGGGATATGGTCTTGGTCTTTGGATTGCTGATTCATGCACTGGCACTGAGGCATGGCACCTGTTGGTCAAAGATGGAAGATCTCCTGTTTGCTCGCCAGTGACGGCGTGCGTGCGTGGCCAAACGACGAGTGACGGGTCAAACCAAAAACGGGTTCGTTCCGGGTCTCCCGTGCCGTTCGAACGATGCGCCGTTCGTTCCGGAGTTTCACGGTTGTTCGGTGCGTCAAAGAAACGGCATCGTCGTTCCCATCCGTTACGCCCCGATCCGTGGAAGCTCAGCTCTTGCTTCTCCGAAATCCATGGAACGTCTTCTTTTGAAGCTCACTCGCTGCGGGTGAACTCAAACGTTGCGTTAAACCACATGCGTGTTCCCTTCATCTCTTGCCAAGCTATTGTTTTTCCGAATGGGATCCAGCTATGGTGCCTCGTCAAACGAGTCAGAGGTCCAACGAAGTGGCACAACCAGCGGTGCACGATCGGCGCACCCCTCTGGTCTCTGATGTAGACTCTCGATGAATTCCCCCAATTGAATTGGACATCCTTGAACACATTGGGGGGGGTGAAATATGATCACGAGTCTACATTCAACAAAAGCAAGCATGCCCACTGTTCTGCAATGCCTCTGTGTCTGCTCTTGGTATTGTCCTTCCTTTGGTCCTTCTAAACAAAACCAAGAATGGACACAGCCACCACCCACAGGCAAGAACTCCCCTTCGACTGTCCGGACACAGCACCCTGTTTTCCTTTTTCGCACGCCGTTGCCCACTTTGGCCGCTAGCGCCTTTTCTTCTGCCACCGTTTGGTGGGTTTCCTTGGAGCAAAGCATCAAAGTTCATGAAGTCTCGGTCTGGCCAGACCGTGTCGATTGACTTGAAGGAAGCCTTTTTCGTTTGGGACAGCTTCTATCCAAGCTGCTTCAGCAGGGGATGTTAACGCTGAAACACAAAGCACTGTTTAACTATAGAAAAATGGATTCAAATGCTTCCAGGTGAGGGCAGAATGCTCCCGGCCTCATGAATCGTAGCCTTCGCCCTGGATGAATGAAACCAGCTCCTGGATGAGCAAAGGCAACTTGGCATCTGAGTATGCATGAGAATATCACATTGAAACTTCTCTTAGTCCTAGACCTCTCTCACAGGGACGCAGTGAGATTTTACATCTGTTTCTGGTCCTTCTTTCTTTAGACCTTCCAGGAGTCACAAAGGGGTGGCTTTTAGTCCCTAAGTGAGTGGACAATGGGCACCCCTATCCTCCAATAGGCACCCCTTTGTGACTGCTGGTTTCCAACCTTTCTTATATTTCTTTATCTTCTTTTGGCTCCTTGGCTCTTCGACACTTTCCTTCCTCAAAGTCGACACCACTTCCCCCCCAAAGTCGACACCACTTCCGTCCCGGAAACCTCCGTCTTGCACCGGAGCCGTTGCGCCGGATCCCGGAACCGGCTCGAAGGAAGCTTCTCCGGAGGAGCCGGAGCTCCGTCCTGGATGTCCACGGTGCCCGAGAAGTCCGTATCCACAATGGCACCTCGGTCGGCTCGGTCGAAGCCAGTCGGTGTCGTGTCGCACGTCTTCCGGTCGCCGGTCGCCGGGACCGTGTCCGACCGTGGCGTCCGATCGCTCCGATCGGGCGAAGAGGACGGCAATCTCTCGCCACAATCTGTGCAGTTCGATCAGGTCTGGATGGCCGGGCCCGATTGGTTGGAGACCTCATTGAACCGTATCACTGCTCCGTATCATGACCTGGAACCCATTTGACCTCTGTTTTGATGGGAAAAGACCATATTTTGGGTGGTTGGTGGTCCAAAATAGAGGTCATTCAGGTTCTAGGTATATAAAAGGATATCCTTGAATTCCATTGTCTCTCCAGTCTTCCATCTTATTCCATTTGTTCAGTCCCGCTGGGGGGTGAGGCATCAGCGACAAACCCGTGAAGTTAGACGATCCGTCTTCCAATCCCTCTTTTTTCTTACAGCGCAAAGGAGAATCTATGAGCCTAAATCGAATGACCAACGATAAAAGACTACAACATGACAATCAACAGCAGGAACAACATGGAACAACAACTCTTCACAACATGCATCATGTCTTCCAAGGAAAAGAACACACACACACACACACCATTCAACTAAGACCTTCTTAGGTTGGAGCCCATCGCTCTTACGTTGGAGGCCATCGCTAGTACGTAGGTTGGAGGCCTTTCACCGTTCGACCTTCAGTTCGGCTCCCAACCGCCGTAGACACGACTGGTCCGTCACTCCGCCGTGCCGATCGAACCCGAGGCGCAAAAGGCGTGGATCTGGTGGTCCGGGACGGCGCTGGGCGGAATCCTCGCGGCGATTGCCCAGGACCTCAGGACCTCTCCTGTCTGTCTCAGGGGTCGCTGTGTTGGAGGTGCTTTTTCTTTTGCTTTTGGAGGGCCCAACCATCCAAGGTCATCAGTGATGTACAAGAGTTTTCTCGTTGATTCCAGGTTCAATAGAAAGAACGAGGAATCCACCCTGGCCTTGTGGATTTGATGCCTTTGTTCAGGTCCCTTGGCTTGAACTTCGCCCGAAGCGACAGGCCAGAAGTGACAGGATGTGGGCATTATGTGGAATGTCCACCGTCTGGAGAGCGCGTGGGCAGAAATGCAAGAGACCCCGCCCCACAAACAACCAGCTCTTCCCAGCACTCCCGTATACGGATGCAAAAGAGGTTGCTGGCAAGCCACCCACTTTCACCAAAGCCTCCTTCCTTCCTCTCCTTCCTCTCCTTCCTCACCCCGTCCACAAGCTGGTTCAACACGCCAGCTCGGCTCACCGCCACCCCTCCAGACACGCCCGGTTCGGCCTCAGGACACGCCGGAGCGCTGCTTTGACTTCGTTGATTTCCAGCTCGCCACTCCGGTCCTCGCCGCGTCCAGGCGGGGACACTCCGGTGGCTCCACGGAGCTGCGCGGATGGTTTGGAGACCACAACGGAGACACTGGGACCACAGGGAGACACTGGGAAGTTCGTTTGGATATGAACACTGCCTGCTGTTGCCAGGCACCATTCCCCTTCTGAACCACGCTGGCCCAGCTTGCTGCCCGCGCCGTTCCTCTCCTTTCACGCCGCACCGCGCCGTTCCAACGCGGAGTACGTCACGGCCACCGCAGCTCCGCTCCGTTCGCCTTGTCGAGGCGTCGAAAGAGCAGGGCGAGGTCGACGCCCTGAAAGCCCGCGTACCTCGGCCGGGTCACCAACGGCCGGGAACCAATGGTGTTTCTCAACGTCATTAGATGGGGAAAGACCCTCTTGGTGCAATACAAGAAAAGGAACTTGGAAGAGATTGGGGGCTGTGCCATGCCTTGTGGAGCAAAGCAAGGTCCCTTTTCTGGGCGAGCCGGGCGAGCGGTTGACTTCGACTTCCTCCAGGTGGCTAAGATCGCCCAAAAGCCCCCGGCGCCCGCGTCGAAATGATTTCTTTCGAAGACTCATGTGCGGTAGCTATGGCAGCTGTAGCTGCCAAAACACGCTTTGCACTGCACAGAATGATTTGCCGCCTTCAGCCATGAAGATGATTTCATGATAACTTAACAGATCTTAACAGTAAAGCATCTGGTCTTCAACGCAAAAACACGCGGATTCCTGGGACTCCGCCATCGCCATCAACCACGGAACCGTAGCTCCTTCTGCCAAGAGTCGCTGCTCTCAGGATGCAGTTTTTGATCTTCTGCACCGTCTGCAATGGCGATGGGTTGAGAACATGCTTCGGGACCCAAGGGCGCTTCTGGTTCTGGGCATGTACACTTTGCGCTTCAACAGTGAGGGGTTGCCAGGCAAACGGTCGAGGGAAGCGCTTCACCAAAAGGGATCACATTTCACTGCAGAACGTCGAACCAAGGAACCGTCCGTTGGGAGTACTTTTTTCGTCCGTTCGGGGATGCGTTGGACGCAACGCGGTCGTTTGGTCTCCAACACACTTGGAACGGACTGCAACAGGTAACACGGGAACCTCCGGCGCAAGGTCCTCTCACCATGCATGGCCTGTTGGTCGGTGTTTCGACTGGAAAACCATCGCACTGCAGCCGATCGACAGGAGGAAGGGAACTGCAACTGTTACATGCACCTCATGGTCCTTCTAAAAGGGCCTCCCTGCTTGGATGAAAGCCATAGATGGACACCAAACCAACTAAACCTTGGAAGATTCTAACAGATTCTAAGTCTAACAGATTCTAACAAATGAAGTCCTTGGACGTTCGCTTCAAGTTCTAAGGACCTGACATCTCATCCTCCCTTCATGACCATCTCACCAGACCGTCCTCACCCTTCCTGAATATCTCACCAGACCGGCTTTGTGGGGTGCTCAGCTGCCGAATCGATCGCCTTGGAATCCAAGGAGGGCGGTGTTGGCAAGCCTCGACGCTTCCGCTCCTGAACATGGGTCCCCAAAAAGAGCTCAAGCCGGTGTCTTTTTTTCGGTGCCGGTTTTGGCCAGGGATGTCTAGAACAGAAGCTCTTCCTGAAGTCCAAACCCAAAGGGTTTCCGCTTTTGTTCACTTCTGTGGATTCCATGTGGGAGTTGAGGTCAACCAGGATTTACCACCAAACCATTCACCACCGGACCCCCGAACGCACGAAATGGTCCCAAATTCTGCAGTCCTCCGCCACGACTTGAGCCAAATGGGCCTCAAAGGATCTTCGGATTGAGCCAAGACTTTAAAAACTACGAAACCGGAAAGGACATTGTGGCTTTCTGGGTGAAAACCAGTCTCTTCATGAATTGGGGTCCCTAACAGAGTTGGTGCAGAAGACGACGTGCCTGTCTTCCACATGGGACGTTAACAATGACTCTGTCACCCACGAACCGGGCTCGCCAGCACATGAAAAGGATCAACCAACTGGACATGCGTTGCTCCCTCTGGGCATCGACTTGGGAGCAACCCATGGAGGGTGCCGACCCACGCCGTCATCACTGGTTGAACGCGAAAACGCCTTTCAAGCCTTTCCCCATGACGACTTCTGGGCCGTACGCGCTTTCATCTGAGCTCTTTGTCGCTTCAGTGAAGACACCTGGCCGAAAGCAGTTGCGGCCGCAGTCGTAAATCCGATGAGATCTCATGTGCAAGTTCGCTACTAGGAGCAAAGGGCACCACTACTAGTAACAAGGACGCTATGAGCCGGAACAAAGGATGCCGCAAGTTCGACCTGCTGATCTGCCACCTGCGCCCCCGCACCCCGCGCTTCGCACCCAGAGATCCTCGGGAACGAGCGCCCCCTCCGATCGGTGCCTCTTTCCGCAAGCGCTCGATCTCCGCTTGTTCCCTTGCAGCATCCTGATCGGCCGTCGGGTGTGCAAGCAGGTGGCTTAATCGAGTGCGAGAAAATGCGAGAAAACGCAGGTTCTCAGCATTTCAAGGGTTCTCCTTGTTGGTCTTGGTGACACATGGGTGTGTATTGAACTACAACAACCTTCCAACCAACAGCTCATGGATGCTAATGGGCTAACATGGATGGTTTTTGGTCTGCTTCGGCCCAGGGAGGTCAGCACCTCGACGGCTCCGCGCGACCGAGACAGACGCACCGCGACCGGAAGGATCAAGAGCGCGCCAGGGACCGTTCACCAGTTCACTAGGAAAAGGAATCGTTGAAGATGTGTGACAAATACATTGCTCCCAACTCAAGTTATGAAGTTCCCAGAAACACGAAGGAGTTAGCATGTTGGCCAAGCCTTTCCGGGAAGGTTGGCTTCGAACACACCCTGCCTCCAAGCTGTTGATGCCCGCACGGTCAAACATCTCCTGGAGAGACGCCGCCGCTAGTGCGGCGAGGTCCTACCGGGTCCGTGACCTGAACTAGGACCTTACTGGGGTACCTATATGGGATAGTCGAACGGTTCTGACCCACCTCTGTTGGATGGTCCGTTCGGATTGGCGCACCAATTGAATACAATTCGACACGACCCGTCTGGGACTGTACTATTTGCCGCCCCAGACAGACCCCTCTGGCACCACCCTAATATAAGTAAATATGCCAGTCCCATTAGTCGCGTCTGGGATTGATTGAATGGCTGGAATCCCAAAGACCCAAACCATTTACCTAGCCTTCAAAGACAATAAAAGAACGGTTGAGCTGGTGGTGTAGTGTAAAAATCCTTAGTAAAGAATCCTAAGGATTTGGATGGAATTTCACACGCGCTTTTGTGTGCCCCAAAACGCCCGCGGTGAAGGGTCAAGACAGGTCTTGCAGCAAGGCAGTCCCATCTTGGGCTCTCCAAACAGGTTCGCTCCATAGATCCGCTCTCTTCATCAGACTCTTGAATTCCTTGCGACAAGCCCCATCTCCTTCCCTCCAAGCCACTCAGATGGAACATCACGGATGCTAAGACACCCTCCTCTCCTTCCGTGATTTCCGCCCCATCTACGGAGCCATGAACCGACCCCCATGAACGATCTCACGCCGTGTGACACGCCTGGCGTCGAGACCCACCGACCCCCATCGCTCGACACACCGCCCGCGGGCGCGGGCGCGCCGGAGCGGTGCGCACGTGTGTCCTGCTCCAAGAGCCACCTGCCCATCTTCTTCGGAATTGGATGTGTAGCGAGAAACAGAGGGGAGACCTTGTTGGATGGACTATAGTCTACCCAGTTCGGGTCCAGGTACCTCCGTACGAAACGGATGGTCGAACGGAGGTGAGTACGTACTTCCAGAGAATGGTCGAACGGGGGGGGTCAAAGGACATCCGAGAACGGATGGTCCTGGACCCTTAGGGCTATTTCCCGACCCACCGAACCCAGCAAGTCGGAACGCCTGGGAGGTCCCCAAGACACATCCAAAGGTTCCGTGGCCGGCGGCGAGCTGCTTGGAATCCTTGGACTTCTGGAGTTTGCTCTTTTGACATCAAGGATCCCGAACATCAACTGTAATCACCCCCCAACCCCATCTGGGCAGGTCACACTTTGCAAAAAAAAACAAGCAAAAACCCGTCAAACGCGGGTTGCTTGGGTTTAGAGAAACCCTCATGAGCCATAAAGCTAGCGGACCAGCGGACATCCACAGGACTCACATCCATCCACTCATCCGTCGCCTGAGCATGAACTCTGGGGGATCCTCTGGACAAGCCATCAGCAAGCTCATCACCATCTCCTGATGACGCGCCGCGCGCCACGAGCCGACGCTGAGCGAAGAAAGCGAAAGCGTTTGCAGCGGAAGGCTGGCACTTTTTTCTTCTCTTCATGATTTGGCAGTAATATAAAGCTCATTGTGTCGGATGATTTTTCTCCAAACTCAAACATCAGTCTCATTGTGACCCCGAAGTCGGTTGACATCAGCAGATGGCATGATGGCTTGCAGGATTGGTGGAGTTTGCACACTTCCTTGCTCCTTCCGACAGCCTCCTTTCCAACGAAACATTTGCTGGTCTTAGCTGACCACAAAAGACCCTGCGCCTTCGAAAACACATGCACCCTGGAAGACTAACATGGACCCTGAAAACCACTGGTCGGTAGAGGAACACAATCTTCTACCACGAGGTGAAAACTGGTCGGTAGAGGAAAACTGGGGCCAGGACGTCAGGGTCTACCAGGAGTCACCAAGGGGTGGTGTTTATAGTCCCTAAGTGAGTGGATAATGGGCACCCTTAACCTCCATTAAGCACCCCTTTGTGACTGCTGGTATGTTAGTTGACTCGGGAGTGTGGTTCTTTTGGGTGATTTGGTCTCGTCGGCTTCGTCGACTTCGTCCCCCATCCTGCAACACAGGGTTGACCTTCTCCTGGCGCGAGGCGGTGGGTGCAGTTGAACCTGAACCTGAAGGGGGTGGACCTCAGCTGGGCAGGCCCTAGCTGAGGTCCCACCTACCTAACTCCACCTGATCTATTTAAGGAGCATGGAAAACATACAATCTCACACCAGGACCTTCAAAGTGACCTTTCGAGATCCCAGAATGAGTGGGAAGGTCCTGGCATGGGTCTTCGGTGAGCGAAACCTTCGGTGCATAGATGAAACCTTCGGGGTGGTCGTCTCGAGCCATGGCGACGGCCGACGGACCGGACGCAGAAGGGGAACGAAGGAGTCGCCCGCTGTAGTGCCAGCCCCGTTTTGGGAAAAAAGAACACCCCTATAGCCAAAACAGCACCCCAACACATCCCAAACCACGACGTTGCTGGGAGTCCCAGTTGGTACCAAAGAGACTCAAAGCAGTTCGACCGGTTTCGAGGGCCTCTGGTTCCTCTACTTGTCCGTGGTAACTGCCTGGGATGCCAAAAGAGCACGAGGAGGGTCAACACACTTCATCTCTCCAGTCGACTGACGTTCTCCAGTCGACGAAGCCGACCACCTGCCGTACAAACACCGGTCTTGTTCAATACCAGCACTCGGTCTCCCCACCAGGTCTCCTAGCCTTGGAGGGTTGGGTGGGAAGGGCCTGAATACAGGTTTCAGGTTTCAATCGGTGACCGGGTGCTGGTTTTGGGGTCCTGGTAGATTCTTTGGTGTATTTTCAGCTAAGCCTTTACATCCCCCCATTTCAGCAGCGCTTCCAAAAAGGCAGCCGGATAGTAGCCACGCTGGTCCTCGGTTTCAGCGAGCCTTTCTCACAATCTTCTTGGATTTTTCAGACTCCTTCTGGGTCCGTACCCTTCGAGAGGTTTTTGGTGACCTCGAATGGTCGACGTCGCACGACGACGAAAGGTCCTTCGGCCTCACACCGAACGCACCATCCACCGAACGCTCCGCGACGATCCGCGGTCGCGTCGTAGGGAGACAGCGATTCCGGGTGCCTCCAGGTAGCGCCTCGGTCGAACTCACACTCCGAAGGAATAGCGCGGCGCGGTTCGTTGGTTTTTCGCCTCGGAGAGCTGAGCGTTTGTGGCACCAAGTCCGCTGTTCGGGTGAGGATCCCTAGGGATCCAAGTACGTTCTCAGAAGGCACTTGGACCCTCCAAACCACCCCAAACACCTTCTGAGAAGGTACTTGGATCCCTAGGGGATTCCAAAAACCATGCCGAATTATGGGTTCCGAGGCCTCCGGATGACGTCTTCGTGCGCCCAGCCTGCGTGCGCACAGCGGGGTGTTTCCCTCGGGAAGAGACTCCGCAAGACACCGAAAACGAAAAGACCCTGGGGACCCGCCCTGCTGGAAAAGATCCCTTTTTTCGTTGTTTTCCCTTTGCAAGATTGCTCCCGGAACATGGTAGATCTATCCGCGAGCTACTAGTACAGTAATGTAATTAGATAATTATAGGTCTTAGTCTTAAACGTCCCTACCATCAAACACGTCATCAGAACAACCACTCTGAGCCGATGCCATCGCTGACCACGGCACATCTTCGCGCCGGACACGGAGGTTTGCTCGCTGAGCCGCTGCCGCGCCGCCATGGCCGGATCGGTTCTTCCGGTGGGTGCCGATGAAAATTCGGTGCCGGTTTCGGACGCAGGAGGTCGTTTGGGGAGTGAGTGGATGAAGGGATGTGAATATGAATATGAACAAATGCAGTATAGGAGTGTGCCAGTGTGCCGAAGGGGAAGAGTTCCTGCTGTTCCCGTGGTGTCGACACGTCGACATGGAAGTCTCTGTGCGAATTGGAGTTCGTGACCGGTGGACGGGCCATCGGTGGTTCCAACGGAGGGGGGAGACGTTGGCTTCGGTCGATCGGCCTCCTTGCCATTCTCCGCTGAAGGAGCTGAAGACTTTGTTGAGACTTTGACTCCAAATCAAAAAGCACGGCATGGCGAGATTGAAGATCATTTGCTTTCACCAGCACCGAAGAAGGTGGACTGATAGATCGACGTTGAAAAGGACTCATTGACTGGTCCAAATGGCTCAACAGCGTCTTCCGCTGTGGCAACAGAACTGGGAACGCGGCGCGCGCGGCGCGAGGCTTGACGAGCCCGAAAAAGGCCGAGCGATCTTCGTTTCCAAGTGCTTCCGGAGAACCGGTGCTTCTGGAGGAAGTTCTTTTCTTTTGTTCAAAGAAAGTCATGAAAAGAACCAACAATTCTCAGCATTCCTCTTTCATTTCTTTCCATTGAACACATGCAAACAACCAACCATCTCGTCGTAGATTTGGGCAAGCGTATTACGCTCTTGGCGTCGTGAATCTCGTCGGGCAACACCTGCCGTCCACCTTGCTTAAAGTCACTTGGAGCCCTACAATTATATCTGGCAAATGATCAATCATGCCTGAAGCAACATCGATGACTGCAACTCAAGACCCGAACATCAAACCCTCACCAAAAATATCGAGAATGTATTCCGTTCCAATCTTCATTGCTTCCTTCCAAGTTCAGGTCAGGACTGTTCGACGCTAAACAACACCACGACCTTTTTCCTTCGGCAATCTGTACAACGGTCCAGGCACACCTTCCTTCGGTCCAGTGCCTCCCCCGGTGTTCTTCGTCGCGCAGCACAGCACTTGCGCCGCGCGTCGCGACCCGCCTCTCCAGCCTCTCCGGCCTCGTGTTTGGGCCATCACCGCCATGGAGTTCAACAGATCGGTCGGTTCAGCGGGCTGAGCAGAGTCAAAACCTTTGCGGCCATTGATCCCACTGGCCACAACGGAGCGGTCGCCGCGGTCTGGACCGTTGCAGTCGGTTGGTTTCGATGTCTGAAAGAACTTGGAACTCCATTCGAAGCGTTGGGGATTTCAGGGTGGCAAGTTGGAACCCTCCCATCCTGCTTTTCTTTCATTCATGTTTGTTTGCTTCGAAAAGCTACCAGTTACAAGTGCCTAGTTCGTCTCCAGGGCAGCTCCGTCTTCGGAATGCCCCGGTCCGCGTCGAACCGCAAACCTATCCGCGGCGTCGAACCGCGTCGACCGCCCCGGCGCCATCAATGGATCGCTCACTCCCCCGGTGGTCCCACCACCCCATCGGGGTCTAAATCCTCCTGCGGAGCCGGCGACGGCGACGGCCGACGCAGCGCCGAAGGGGTGCAGCCCAAAAAGAGGTCGGAAAAGAGGGGCTTGCTTCCGAAGTTTCAACTGCTTTTTCTTTTCTCCTTTCTCTAAGTTGGAGGCCATTGCTAGTAGGTTGGAGGTCATCGCTTAGATGTTGCTTGCTTTGCCTTGTTTGTAGGAAGGGGGGAACTTTGAGATCCTATGGACAACGGATCTGGCTTGCAGCAGCCTCTTTCACCGAGAAAAACATAGAGCAAAACACCGGCGTCTGTGTGTTTTCCTCATTGAAGATGAGTTGGCCAAGTTTCACCATTCCAAAGGTGAGTCTACTGCACTTGGATTTGCCCCCATCTCACCAACACGGCGCCGTGGATCATCTCACCAGAAGCCAAGAGTGAAGCCGTGCAGAAAACCCAACCAGAGCAACTCACTGTTCCACTTTGAGGGCTTTTCAGATTCACAAAAAAAGAAGCCTCTTCGTTGGCTGTTGGGAGTCCGAATCCCTTGGCCTGTTCGGGTGCGCTTTCAGGTGCTTCCGGCCCGTGCCGTCCAGTGCGGGTTGCCGCTCCTCTTCCTCATCCTCCTGGCAGCAAGGAGGCGTAGCAGAGCCTACTTGGAGGATCTCTTGGTGGCTCCAAGGAGCCAGAACCGAAGGAAGGCAGCCTTACCATCCAAGCCAGCGATGTGAAACATCCCAAGACAGGTTGAACAGCCCTATAGCCCATCCCATATGTACCGCTACAGGGTCCTATATTAGTCTCTCAACCTCTCTTGGTCCTCTTTGACGTGTAGACGGTGTAGGACGTTTTCCAAAAACCACCGGCTTGATGCATGCTCGAAGGAAGTTGAACCGGCAGAGGTCCAAGCAAAAGAAACCACCCAGCCTTCAAGCTTTGGGGGTCAACACATCGAAGACTTTGCAGCACCCCTCGTAACTCTGACCTTCCCTTTTTGGTGATCCAAACTTTGATCCGAACGCCCATCATCTCCCATCATCATATCATCGTCGAACGCCCATCCCCTTTCCACCGGGTCTCCCATCCGGACACTGGCGCGTGCCATGATCTTCCACCCCGTCACACCCCATCACCTGTCCCGCCGTCCCGCCGTCCGACCTCGAGGAAGAGGTCCTCTTCGCCGGACTCGAGATCTAAGAGATCATCGTCGTCGAGCCAATCCTCCCATCGTCGACTCGAGAGGAAACCACCCGCGCCCCGCCCGATGATTTCCACTCCAGCACCCGAAACCTGCCAGGCCTTACTACTAGGAGCAAGGACGCTACTAGGGGCTCCTGGCCTTACTCCGAAATGGAGGGTTGGGAAGGGCCCTAACTAACAGGTTTCAATTGGTGGCCTGTTGGAGGGTCCTGGCTGTTCGACCATGAGTGTCAGCAGTGACGTCGTTCGATGCGTCCGTCGAAAATCGGACGGAAGCGTTCGGACCGCGGGGGTGGCGATGAAGAGGTTTTCTCAATCCAAAGGGTCGGGGGAGGGGTTCTTAATCAAGAGTACTATATAAGTCGATCTACTAAGTCGGTCACATTTTCAGTTTACGGGAAAGCGGTTTTCTTCGGTGTTGGTGCCATTTTCGTGTCTCACCCGTGTCTCACCCGTGACAGGTCGACAGACAGACCGGTTTTCACCACATCGTCTTTCTTCGCTCCGTGTCTTGCCCGGCATCGCGGTACATCGGTCGTCGGCTGACTTCGGGTTTCACCTGGCAAACATGAACCCGTTTGGGCTCCAGTCGTACCGAACCTGAGAAGGTGGGACTGGGTGGGTGGGTTTGGAGGGTCCAAACACCTTCTGAGGAGGTACGACTGGAGCCCTAGGCGCAGGGTGAAGCCTTTTTCCACGAGTTTCGAGTGCGGAGTGCGGAGACATGCGGTTCCACCAATCCCCCTCAAAAACCTGAAAGGTTCAAGATCGCAGAAGTAAGATGAAGTAAGTTGTGGGCCTCCTCTTCGCCCTCTTCCAGGAAGAGGTCATCGAAGTCGTCTCCCTGGCGGATCTGAAGGGAGCTGAGAACGGGCTGAGAACACCCGGGTGTTCCAAAGGCTCTCCTAAAACCTCACGGAACCAAAAACACAAATCTGATACCAAGCGGATCCGGGTGATCTATATGCTTGAAGAGTTTCTCTTTTCATGAGCCGTGCCAGACTTCGGCATCAATGCACACTTCGGTGCTTGCGTGCACTGAACGAACAGACCTGCAGGCTCCCACCGTCCCATTGGAGCGTGGTCTCCATTGGAGCCTGCTTCTCCTCTCCTCACCGTCTTCGTGCCGGTCGAGATGGCGACGCCGATCCAGACTGGTCGAAAGCGGCGCCTCGAAGCCCAGGTCGAAGGCCGCCTCGGTCGATGAAAAAAGGAGGGAAAGAACCGATGGTGGAGCGACCTGGAAAGTACACTTCCGTCCGCTGCAGACCGTCTGCTTGGAAGACCCGTGACTTGAATCCCAAACCATGACACCCTAAAAGGACACTTTATATCAAGCATTCCCCTCTATAAATGCCCCTGAAACATATAGTCTATAAACATGAAAAGACCACCATCATGCAAGACATTCCGTTGGACGGGTCTCCACTCACTCTCCTCGCTCGTGTGAGAGACCTGACCTCAACCCAAAAGCGATGCGCCCCGAACCATTCATATGGAATCAATGGTATTAAGAATATTACCCTAACAATAAATATAGGGTCTCTCGGGTGGTATTCGAAGGGTCGCAATATTACCCTAACAATAATGATTTTATTCTACTGTACCCTAAGAATCCGGGCCCTCAAACACGGGTCTTGAGGGCCCAGACCCCTGCCATAGAGAGCCCAAGGATTGTTAGGGTAATATGGTATCCTCATCCAGTCATTTACTTGGTATACCTGGAGCCTGGATTCCATGCTATTACCATATGATACCCCTGGAAGTTAATGGGAACTGGGAACGACCTGGGGACGGAAACGTGTTGACACATCCTTGGTAAAACACTGGTGGTTCAACTAGGGTGGTTGGAAGCCCAGGGATACGTCATGACTCATACCATATGATACCCACCTGTAGGTAGGGAGTTCAGTCATGACTACCTCCCACGTGAAATAGAAATCACAATCGTGGAAGTTCAGGGAAGCCCCATCCCCCACAGCACATCCCTGAGAATTCAACACGGTGTGCCTGCAGAACCTTCCAACATCATCAATCCAACTTCCGCCTTCCTCTTCCGGACGCTCCTGGCCTTACTACAGTGGTTTCAGAGCAGATGGCACAACCCCCAAAATGTCTTGTATATAGGGGTCCGTATCAACCACCTTATGAGGATTGTGCCATCTACTCTGAAACCACTGCACTAGGAACCAGGACGCTACGAAGCGGGGCTGGCATCGCGTCTGGCCTCGGCCGCCTTCTGCTCCGCCTCCGCCTCCGCGGCCGCCGAAGGCGCCGGCGCTTCCGCTTCTCGGGGCGGCTCCGCAGCCGCCTGCGGCTTCAGCCGAAGGCAGGAACCGGGCGGGTGAGCCGGGGTGAGGGGGAAGTCGTTCAGGGGTGAAAAGTATTGTATGCCAGGAGTCACAAAGGGGTGGTTTTTAGTCCCTAAGTGAGTGGACAATGGGCACCCCTATCCTCCAATAGGCACCCCTTTGTGACTGCTGGTGGTTGATCTATTGTTGATCTTTACTTTGATCTATAATACTTGGATCGAAAAATATAGGTCTGGAGTGTTAGAGTCTGGGAGCTTTGGAGTGTTTTTGAGTGACATGTAGTAACGTACGTGTTCTTTGCTTCGTGAATGCGTAAGCGACGCCAGGACTCTTCGGGATTGAACCCAACCAATCCGGGGAAACACGGCGATTGGATGTGGCAAGAATCGCGGCGATGCTGATCACGACCAGCAAGTGAAATCTTGGCAGAATCGCTTGGGATTCGAAGTGGAACACTGCCACACTTCATATCACTTCATGCACTCTGTCTTACCCGAACTTTGCACTCAGCTTTTGTATGCTTGACTCTGCTCGACGGCAAAACACATCGAGGGCCGGAGGGCGGGTTCGGATTCAGCAGCAAATCACATCACAGTTCGTGATATGTTTGGTTGGTCCGAGTCAACGGATCCTCATTTTGGACACAACTTGGAGAGCAAGAGCAGGAACTCCTGAAAACCTTTGGGACAGTAGATTCTCTTTGGAGATCTTCTTGCATGTGGAATGCTGCAATGTGCCCCCCCCAGAAGCACCAATTAGGGTGGTCAGTGGGAAGCGTTGACCTCCACGCACTTCCTGTGCTGCGTTGCGCCAGATGGCGAGCGTTCTCCACTGCGCCAGCCCGGGCCGTGGACGTACTTTCAAGGTGTCCAAGAAAAGCCCAGAACAGCTGGGGATGGAACAAAAAACACTCATCATGTCCAGTTGGCACTTGCCGATCGCTGATTGCACACGACGGCCACTCTTTGTGGATGGTGACCGGTCTCTGCTGACCCGTGGAGAGCCACGGAAACGGAGTTCGGTCGGGCAACTGCCAGGGGGGTCCGAAGTCCGATGTCCACGACCACTGCGGTGGTTGGGGGGGTGGTTCGTCCAGGTTTGCTGCCTCAAAGAAGGAAGCATCAAGAGAACCCTGATTAAGAAAAACGGCCCATCATGCTTGCTGGGGTGGTGAGAGTGTGAACCTTTGATCGAGATAGGTGTTGCATCTGTATTTGAAGGGGATGAAGAGAACCAACTGCAGGAAAAGTCTTTCCATCACAATCGGCGTTGGACAAGAGAGTTCTATTCATGCAAGAAGTGGTGGCAATCACCCTTGGCCGGCCAGCGCTAGCAAAGAACACACACAGAAACCAATTGAAGGGCATCACTACTGGTAGCTATAGAAGCTACTAGGTTGGAGGCCATTACTACTAGTAGCAAGGACGCTACTAGGTTGGAGGTTGATCTGCATTGGGAGGAGCTACATTGGACCGAAAGGGATATGCCGATCGAAGAGGTTGGAGTGGCTTAACATTGATTGTTGGGTGTGGCTGCAGCCCAACACCCCTACTGAATTTTCTAACAGGTGAGTGGACGGCAAGCAGTACTTTCCACGGAATTCGCCCCCCCCCCCCAGGCAGTTGATGCTTTGACTTGGCTCCTCATGACTTGCCATTTTTCTAACATTTTGCGCTTGCTCTCCTGTGCTTCTGCGTTCCAGGCTCCTGTTGACGTCTCTTTGGAAGCTGGCATCTATGGCATGTGGCATGTATGGTCCGCCATATGGGCTTTCGTCGATGAACCCTTTGCGACCCCTGCGAAGCGAAACAAAACACACCGTCGGATCCACCGGAGGCGTCGGATCCACCGGATGCCGGTGGAACCAAAGGCCCCACACACATCCAAACGCCCCCGATGCGAGGGACACCCAACGGACAAAGGCACCGAGAGATTCTCGGGTGGTTACATGGACAGACAGTGGTCAACGACGATGCATCACATGCACATCGTTGATATTATCGTCCTTCCGAGCCATCCAGATCTGGGGTGGTGAGCTGTGGCCAGTCTGGGTGGGTGCTGGTCGGTTCAAACAGCCAGACACAGCAAAGCCCACCTTTCACTCCCCGCCTTGGGCTCGGCCTTCGGCTCGGCGGGTTCGGCCTTCGGCTTGGGCTCCGCCTCCACATCGCCCCGGAACGGACCGAGAAGGAGCTCCTTCAGGAGCTCGGGTGGCTAGCCGCTGGGGAGGTGCCGAGCTCGGGTGGTCCAATGTTTCAAGCAAACGGTTTGAAACTGTAACTAAGAGACTGGAAGTCAAGTCGACCATGTTTAAAAATGGTTGATGTGGTTTTGTAGTGTAAAACCCGTAAAACAAGGGTGGTTCGGTAAAGGCTATTAAAACAATGGTGGTTCGACTGCTAGGGAAGAGGTAGAGACCAGTGTTGTGAACTACCACGTAAAGAGCAAGTCTTTGCTTCAAATTGCAGAAACCATCCCACGACAGTGTGAATGCTAGTTGCCACCAAGACCGAATGTTGAAAAAGTGTCACGCTTGCGCTTGCGCCTTAGCCTTGGCCTTTGCTTTGGCCTTTCCCTTGGCTTTGGGCGAAGCCTCCTCAGTCGGGTCTGAGAGCTGCGCCCATCCTCTCGGCATCCACCCAAATGTTGAGCCGCGCGGAGTGATTTTCAGGCCAAAATAACATAGACCCTGATAATGACCCATCTTCCAGGATGGTTTTCCTCTACCAACCAGTGGTTTTCAGGATCCATGTTAGTCTTCCAGGGTGTACAAAGACACCAACATGCCAGTTCCCCCCCCGGCCGCTTTCGCGGATCGCGACCGGAACACATCGAACTGGGCTGCCGGACCGGCTGCGGCTCTTCTTCCTGAGGAGTGGACGCACGTTGCACGCGTGCGACAAACGCGTCAACGGTCCGTGAATGGATTGAACTGTCGATCGCCCTATGGGCGAATCAGTCAGTGCGGCGAATTGGGCGAATGACCTGGCAAGAACCAGCCAACTCTGTGCCCCAACTCTGTGCGCCTCCGTCGTCGACTGGCGTCCGTTTTGGCGTTTGGGCCAGGGCTCAGCGGAGTTCCAGTCGTTGGAGTCCAGTGGCATGGCATCCACCGTGGCGATGCAACACTTCTCTCTCCGATCCTTTTCATTGCCACGCGTGGCGCGTTTCGGCATCACCCTCATCGGCGAAAAAACCGTGGTCCTTGTGTTGGAACTCCAGGTCACGCTGTCCGACGTGAGAAGAGAGTGAAGTCTTCATCGGCTTGGGATGTGATGCGGCAACACCAGGAACAAGTGCATCGCTTCTAGTAACAAGTGCCTTACTAGTAGTAACAAGAAGCTATGGGATCTATTGTTTCTAATAGCAAACATTGTTACTACTAGTAAGGCACTTGTTACTACTAGCGTGGCACTTGTTACTACGAGTAAGGCACTTGTTACTAGAAGCGATGCACTTGTTCCTAGCTTGGGATGTGATGCGGCAACGCCACCTAGTTTGCCCAGCCAAGAGTCGACGCGCCGCACGTCTAAAAGCGCCGTCGAACGCGGGCGAAAGGAGCTGGGTGTTCTTTCCTTTTCATCCTTTTTCTTTGTTTTCATTGTGTCCGCCTTGTCTTCCTTCTTGTCTCCCATGTCTCAACAAAAATGGACCAACGGGAATGCTTCTTTGTTGTCCCAACTGTTTGGGGTCTACGGTGGTGTTTCACTTTCTTTCCTCCAAGAGGGTCTTTGCTTTTCACAGCCATCCTTCTTCCCCACCCCCCCGGGCGACACACTTCGGGACGGACCTTCTTCGCCTTCTTGGCACTGCCCGGATCCTAGGAGACGTGGGGAGGACTGAGCAGTGGTCCCAAAGCACTCCATGTGTCCTGTGCCAGCACTCCCTTCACTGCCCTGAAGAGGCGTCCACATGTCAAACTATTCTTGTCTCGTACGTTAAGAGGTGAGGAACGGGACACTCCCGAAAACCATCGGGCTTGGAAGATCTCAAGCATCCCCATGTGGCTTTTCATGATATATGAATTGAATTGAATTGATATGATATCAATCTACTAAGATTGACTGACCCCTCACACCATCCCAATGTATAAGTCCGCTTGGATCGGGGTTTGACCTCTGCCGGACAGTTTGGCCCAAGAACACATGGTAGAATCTATACATTCTAGATTGGACATAGCAATGGCCTTGCAGATCTAGATCCACGAAAAGCGCCAAACAATCACTTGAGGAATGATGCATTTTCTTCCACCAAAGAGCCCTTAATCCAATTGAAGATCGGCTTGATAGAATGAGCCTGAGCCTCCTAAGCTTAAGATTTCCAATCAGCAATCTCTTCTGACCCTTCATCCAGCCTGCTTTGGTGCGGCACGCTTGCCTAGAAGCTCGAGTCGAGGACCAAGCTGAGATGCAACACAAATCACCATCAAATACGCCTGGAAACCCGGTCCCAACCAGAAAGAGTTCTGGATGTGTGCCACAGTTCCAACATGTTCCAACCACTTCTGTAAAGGATCTCAATCTGGCTCCATATTGGACCAACCAATTGTTGCCGGTTGGGACTGGCTTTCCAGTTGCACGTTGCTCTACTGCGATCGTGTTGGACTGGCGCACCACAGCGAAGCTTCCTGCTTGGCTTGGCTTGCTCAGTGGGGGGCGCTCGTTCGCTCTTTCGCTCGCTGATGGAACCAGGACATCGGGCCTACCCACCCCCAGTAGGGAACGACCAGCATAGCTCCGACTTTTGTTGGCCAAAACCAGGTCATGGCGTGCACCTGGTTTTGGACTGCACCGTGACGGTTTTGCGCAGGCGCTTTGGTTGGGAAAGCCATGTAATGAGACGCATTCGATGCACAAGGACCAAGGTGTTTGTTCATTACTTTCACTCATGTCCATCGGAAACACCGTACGTGTTTAAGCCTGGAAGTCCCCCCTTCTACGCTACGGGTCTTGACTATTGACACTGGACCTTTTTCAGTGACCATGTGGTACCATGTCCATGTCTATGCTCATGACTGTTGAAATGAATTTGCTTGCGGAAACTTCAAAAAAACATCTCCCCCAGGAGTGGAGTCAAAGAGTCAGTCGAAACTTCAGCATTCATGTGTCATTTCTAGGGTATCTCCTATGCCCAGTCGATCGCAGATGATGATGTTTCGTCATGGCCGACATCTTTCTCCCAGTCGATCGTGCTGTTCTTGTTTTCTCCCGACTGTTACAGGTCGAACGGCGGCATCTCTCGCCCCCACTCGACACAACCACCGGCCATCCAGTCCGTGACGAGGAGCCCATGCTGAGATCTCCTCGCGACCTGCGGGGGAGGCCCCACGAGCGGCCTCGTCCCCCCCCGCTTCGTTCGAGGGCGGTCTTCGGGTCAAATAAGGGGGTCCACGGACCGTGAGAAGCACCGACCCTCCTGCAGAGTACCACGGACTCGTGAGAACCACTGGGTAGATGAGCATCGTCGTAGCACAGAGTCCATTTCTTCGCGGTTCATGGGATCGTTTGCAGGAGAGGTATAGGTCGGGGGGATGGTGCCCATCGACTCTCAAGCCACTACCAACTCTTTCTCCTGCTAAGGTGCAGATGGACTTCGGTGCTTCCAGTGGTTTGGAGCTGGAACAAGTTGCTACAAATCTGCACGTCGATCGACGGGGGGGCATCTTAGCACACCCAAAGACGTCGCAGCGAGGTTCCAGGAAGGCATGAGAGTGTGCCATCTTTCGTGAGTGAAGGAGTCTTTCTTTCCCCGGACGAAAGCGCATAGAAATCGACACAGAAACACTGAAGAAACCTTAAGATAAGAATCAGTGCATAATGGCGCATACCTTCTTTTGCTCCTGGCGCACCTTTGGTTCTAAAATCACCCTGGCGTCGCCCAAGTTCGTCCGTCGCCCGCCTCAACGGCGACGCTCCGGACGGCGCTCCGGACAGCGCTTCAACGGCCGAGCCCCATCGGCTGCGCACAGACGTGACCGGGTTCAAGGAACGCTAGTAGTAGCTCCTGGCCAGACTACTAGGAGCAAGAAGCTACTAGGGGCTCCTGGCATCGCTACTAGGAGCAAGGATGCTACTATGGGCTCCTGGCCAGACTACTAGGAGCAAGAAGCTACTAGTAACAAGGGCATGCGACATTACTAGTAGCAAGGACGCTATTAAATTAGGTGGGAGGCCATTGCTAGTAGGTTGGAGGCCATGATCAGGTAGGAACATCTAGGAACATGGGGAGAAATTCTTATCAGTTGATACACTTCTTATCTGGAACTGGTGAGGAACTGTGCCACGAAACGAAATTGGTTGGAAGGCTATCAACTCTGGATTTGGTTTCAGCTCGGCTCTGTGTCCAACAAGAAGACCTGGGTCAAAACGACCAGTACCCAAACACTCCATGGGTCTTGCGCTTTCTGATATCTCATTTACTTCACTAGCTCTTGAGTGAAACCTCATCCAGACCCGTCTAGCTGCACTTTACAACTCCACACATGATCCAAACAACTCCACCAAGGCACTCATCCGACTACCCTCTTCCACAGTGCCTCCACAACCCATCCAACCATCCTTCCATCACCCAGACACTCCATGTATGCCATATATGCCTACATTGACCCCTCTGGCACCACCCCAATGTAGCAAAATATGCCAGTCCCATGGAGTGTCTGGGTCATGCCCGCCCCATTCCGGCTCTTTTTGCTTCCGTTCCGGCTCGGAGGAGCTTCCCCGCGCCTCTGCGGTCTCTAGGGGTCTGACGCGACTGTGGGGTATCTCAAATGGCCCCACGCCGACGGTGGGCCGCGGTCGTCGTGTGTGGACACCGAGCTTGTGATCGGCATCGCACACGGGTGGGACGGTCGTCGCTCTGAACGGGTGTGACGGGTCGTCGAGCATAGAAAGACCAAACCAAAACGGATCCGCTATCAGCATTGATGATCATGTACCTCGCAAAGAAGACGTATGAGTGTGATGGCAGGTCCGGTGGTCAGCATTGATGGAGCCAATGACGGACACCTTCGCTTTCATGTCAGCCGTCAAACCTTTGGCCCAGCCCTGGTCGTCCAGCCCAGCCCTGGTCTCTGCTTCCAAAGGATGGCCATCCCCCGTTGAGTTGAAAACCCTTTCGCTGCTGGGGAGGCTTCGTCCTTTGCAGATGGACAGCTCAAACGGAGGGCCCCCGCGAGCGGGGGCACCTCTGGATTCGCCGCGGCACGAAGGATTCGCACCGCGGTGGTGGAGAAACGAATTCCGTTCTCAGGCGTCTGAGGGATAGACGAAGCATGGAATAAACAAGTCGGATAAGAGAGAGAAATCGGTTTTTGTTCCACTTCTGAAATCAGTGTTACTTCTCACCACGGTGTGCACAGGTCTAGAATGATCTGAGCACGCCCTCCCCAAGAAGTGCGGTAAGCAAGCCCTTTGCAACCCGTCTGAGTGTTGAGGGGAGGATAATTCTTCAGAGTTGGCCAGTGAACATCCATTGAATGGAACCCAGTGCATCCCAGTTACCACTATATAAGGAACCAGGGATTCGTTCGGTCTATGGTTTTAGTCTTTGGAACCAACTGGTTACCAGCTATAGTGGTTTGCCTGGATGCCCTGGGGAAGGGTCTTCCCCTCCATCCTTCCCAGCTTCTTTGAGGTTTGAGAAAAGGTCCCGTTGATCCCTTCCCCGGCCAGCCTAGTTCCTTTCCAAAACCACCCCCCAACACTCCAGTTCTGCGTTCTTTTGTGCCCCACAAAAAACCGCCCCCACACTCTCCTGAGAACACTAAACACTTGGAGCATAAACAGCTCGTCTCAAAAACTCGGCTCGAAACCTCAGCGCGACGGCCCGACATGGACGACGGGGACATCGGTAGAACACGCTGGGAAGATGGACATCGGTAGGAGACGCTGATGTTTTCTTGTTTGACTGGCCAGGAGTCAGGATCTGGGGTCTGTAGAGACTGTTGGAAGATATCCGTTTCGATTGGCTAGAAACATGAGAAACATGAGAAACTACTAGCCAAATAGCTTTTGATTGTTGCTCGACGGTGTTTTTACAGAAAGCGCAGTCAGAAGCTCTGCTAGCTCAACTGCTTTTTGGGGGGCGCGGAACATTTCTGCCAAACGTTCAGCCTTTGGTCCTTTTGATTTTCACTCAGGTCGGTCCTTCCGTCTGACGGATTTAGTTCCATTGCCAGGCGAGCGCACCTGGTTGTCCGGTGGGTGGTGCTGGCACTTAAAGATACTTAAAGACCCTATTTTTCTTGTCTGACCGACTCCCAAACCACCCTTTTTCAACCAAAACACCGACTCCCGCCGTTGAAACCGGGCGCCCTGGGCGCCGGGGAGCACTCCTTCGGCATCGCAGCTGGGACCGTTTCAAACTGCACTGTGCACACCTTGCAGCGGAGATAGTCGGAGAAGCAACACCAAAGACGTCTGTGACACATCCAGAACCCAGAAGAGTGCAGAATGACATGGCGAGTCTCACTTGAACCCCGTGATCTGGTGAGTCACGCCGTCACCCCAGCCCTTTGTTGTTCATTTCAGCTGATCAATTAGAACGTAATTGTCCCACCTATCCGAGAAACGTGAGACACCAGTCACCACCTGTCGAAGGGTTTTCGCGGTTCCCTACTCCAACGCTACCAAGCTACGAGCACTGTCTTGCCCTCCTCACCACCCAAACGCCCACGCAAACAGCAGCGCAGCTGCCACACCCGCTAAGCCACCACCCAAGGCACACGCTTGGATCCTGGGACGGTAGAACTCCTCCGCCTTCCGCGCCACAAACGCGCTGGACGTCGCGGCAGAAGCGGACGTCGCAGCGCAGGACGTCACGAGTCCCAGCGAGGCTTCGTGGATGGCGCTCCAACGTGCGAAGCTCAACAGAATGGCCACCTTCAGCGACTGCGACGCGGTGCGACGCAGAGGCACGAGACGTTCGCGTTCGGTTGGACCGTGCGGTTCACGCGTACGCGAGATCACGCGCGCGATCACGATCGCGGCCGGTTTCTTTGGGGGTTTCCGAGTGTTCGGAATGGGTCACGGTGGATGTGCCGTTCGATCAGGGGCTCCGAGACGATGCTGCTGTTTCCAAGATGGCAGGCTGCAAGATTAAGATTGCAAAGTGACAATATATATTTAATAGATCTTTTTAGTTATAAATATACATATAGTATAACATGCATTGGGTCATATTGGGTCTATCCTATATACCAGTAACAGAGCATGGATGATGATGGTCACTAAAGGCCTATACACATATCATATTCTACCCAAATCATTTGGAAGGGAGAGTCCGTCCTTGACGGCCGCAGGTCACCCTCATTGGCACCCAGCTGTCGGATGAACGAAAACCGTTTCGATATGCGACCACACAGAAGCACAACAAACTCCATTCCAACTCCCCGTTGCCGGTCTGGTTCCGATACCGCCCCGCGAAACAGCTGGCTCCCATCTCTTTCACTCACGCGAGAGTGGTGTGTCAAGGGACTACAAGGCACACCGCGAAGGCACGCATCCCCAGCATCACCTGGTCGGTGAAAGGGGAATGGATTGGATCGGTGGTCCACTGCTGACCTAAAAACGAGCTCCAGTGAAAATGCACAGGAATGCGCATTTCAAGTCCGTACAGCTAGACTCTAAGAAAAAGGTGGAACAACAAAGGCCCAGGCCCTGTTTCGCAGCATGAGCAGAGCAAAGCAAAGAGACAAAGAGACTGGGGAAGAGAAATGGATTCCAACATAACCTTTAGGGACCTTTCTAGGGCTATTCACTTACTGGTCTCTTGTGGTCTGTTTGCCGGGCCACACTCATCATCTGCTGAACCTTCACCTTCAGAAATGATGGTCGTTGGGCAAGCCGGTGCTTTCGTTCGCAGGTCGTGCGCAGATCGCCACTGCGTGATTCGCCGGCTTTGGACGCTTAAGGTTTGAAACACTTAAACCGATCCTCTCCTTCCGCAGCGAGACTCAACGCCTTCCGCACTGCACTGCGACTTCTGGTCCGACTTCTGGACACCGAGGGAGCGATGCCGGGTGAGCGGACCCTCCTCCCATCACCCCTCTGTGAGAGGTTCGCACCGGTCCAGCTACCGGTACAGCCGGGCCTGCTCATTGTCGCACTGAGGGGACCGGAGGCGACCAAAACGTCGGCGAAGCCTTCGAAAGGTCTGCCCGACTCGGTTGGAGCTCCGAAACAGGAATGCTGATCTATCTCCAAAAGACTTGGACAGAATCGCTCCAGACATCCTCGGACCTTCCCGACCTGTTACTCTTTCGCCTTTTCCCGGGCACCGAACTGAACCTCCCCCCATCGCCCCCGCTCCGCTCGGTTCGGCGCCTCGACCAAGAGCATCCCGAAGACCTCCATGACCTCCTCGGAGTCCTCGGACTTCGCGACGCGCGACGCGTCCGAGACGACCGGAGACGCCAAGTGAGTGAAGTTCCCGCGGCGCCGGAAGTGTCGTGGGGTGTGAAGTGGATTGAAGTGACTTGAGAACCCATTGAGCCGCCGATATATACGGTGTACCTATCAATTCATATACACAGGAAGGACCATGGAAACAAAACACCTACCCAACAAAGGGTGACACGTCCAAACATGAGCCACACAATCCTTTCTTTGGTGTAAAGCCAAGCCCTGCTGCCCTGCTTTGGCCAAGGTGCTTGATCCAAGGTCTCTGGGTCGGTGTATAAACGCTTCAAGCCCAGCTTGAAGACGAAGAGCATGAAGGGCAGGTTGTAGAGAAACCTCGAACGGCGATTGGCGGCACAACCACGACGCGCCCGACGTTCCCCGACTCGGACTGTCGATGGTCGGCGGATCGACGCGTCGATCTCTCGTCGCCGGGAGCGTGGTGTTCTGTGCGATGTCCGGTTTTGCACCAAAAGAGCGCTTGGATGCGAGTTGTTCAACCAAAAACCAACATTAAGTGTTCCAAGCTGGCGTGCGAACCCTAAACCAGCACTCGGTCACCACTTGAAACCTGTCTTCGGGCCCTTCGCACCCACCCAGCACCCTCCTGTCTTCGGAGACCGGAGACCGCGTGCTGGTCGTCCGATCTCCTGGAGGGCTTCGATGGGATCGTGCGACGAAGCACCCCAAGGAAGATGTAAATCCAACGAAGCACCCCAGCCTGCTTGTGTCCTTCTTGTGGACACCCCATCGCACTTCAGTGAAGATCACTAAACCCTAAACCCACCAAATCGACCGGTCGGACTCGAGCACTTGGCCGCGGAGAGTCTCGGAGGGAATCGGGTAAAGGGTACAGGTCATGAAGCTTATAAAACCACCAGAACATACCAAAACAGCGTCCTTTTAGAAACCCACCTGTTACGAGTCACTTTGCAACCCACCTGTTTGTTCTCTGATGCACTTTTCGGGTTGATCAGAATGCTCCAAGTGACATCAACATGCCAGCCAACCACGAGATCCTTCCAGAGATGTAGCGCGCGTTAAACTTCCTCAGCGAGCTGAGTGCTGAACACAATCAGTGCGCTCAACATGTGCCACCCCAAATTAGGGCTATTGATTATTGATGGCTCTTGCTTTTCTTCCTGAAATCCATCAACATGAGAACAACACCTCAGTCACCCAGCATTGCCCAGTCTGAAGAGGGATCCTCCATTTCTTATATTTCTTGAGGGTACCCTACGCAAAAACCCCTCAAAACCACCTCCATCTCTGGCCTCCATCCCTCTGTCTCGCTCTCTGGCCCTCCAACTCAGCCCATCCAAAGGCACCTCGGCAGGGTGGTGAAGGCCTCGCGGAAGAGACCCATGAGGAAGGCGCCCACGTAGAGCGAGAAGATCGCCATCAAGAACCTCGGGACCAAAGACGGAGCCCGGGCCGCGCGCGGCGGAGTACGCGTCAGCAAGCCTGGGGGGGATTCTCGGGCCGGAAGACTCAACGTCCAGTTGCGGACGGGTCCAGCGTTCGACTTGGGAAGAAGACGGGACATATAGATTTTGCCAGGGTTATTGGGCTGTTCTTGTGACGATGGATGAACTGATCTCTACCACTTTCTCGTGCAAGATGATGTACTCCATTTTGCTTTGTGAAAACATGTCTTCATGGTGGGGGGATTGGATGAATCAGCGAGTCTCCCACCACAGCGCTCCTCTTCTCAGTCATTTTCCTGCACCTGTCTAATCAATGACCGGACCTCAGCGACCAGTTGCAGCAGCGCTGCGCCCTCTGCCTCCCCCCCACACACACACACACACGATGGCCCCAGGCGCAGTGGTGGCAGGACAGTGGCCTTACAGTCATTGGACGGCACCTCCGGAAAGCCTCCGGCCGTCTACGAAGGACTCGTTTGGGGGTCGAAAGAGAAGGATCGGTCGAGCATGAGCGAACAAGGAAGCATGGTAGCTCTGAAAAAGTGGAGCGAAAGAAGCGCTAAGCCTGGAAGAATCGAGGCACTACACTGCACTATAGTGATACCCTCCAGACATGGGTGTGTGTGTGTGTGGGTTTGAGGGTCTGCTTTTCGCCTCATGTCTTTCCGTTGGCGGTGCTTCGTCGCTGATTTTCATTGGGGAAGGCTGGGGTCGCCATGGACGATGCAACAGATCTTGAAATGTGGAGGAACTTCAAATCTGATTCTTACCGGATGATCTTTCATGCCCTGAGAATCCGGCCACTCTATAGAAGGGGGTGCACATCATAACACATCCGGTCCTTTCTTTCGTCCTTTCATCGGTTGTCTTGCTAACCAGATCCCAGCGTCAATTGGACGCGAGCTCGTTCCAAAGCAGCCAGAGCGAGGTGGCCAAGAGCAAGATGCCTCGATCGAACTCGTGGCCAATTCAAAGCAACGAGTCTGGAATATCCGTTGCATATTTACCACGGAAAGGTTTCACCTTTTTTCAGTAGCCCTTACTGCTATTCTACTCTTCATCTACCTCCACTTGGAGCACCCCAACTTCCCCCCCCAAAATCCCCCCAAATCGCGCGACGTCGCCCGCGCTGGGAACCTCCGCTGCGCCGTCGCGGCGCGCCGTCGCGGTGCCGGGTTCGGCCTTTGAGATTCAAAGCGCAGCAAATCTTGAAGCTCAAGCTGCCTGAGAGCAAGCTGCGCTGGTCCGGGTCGCCAGGGTGGCCATCTCGACATTTTTCACTGTGCGCTGGTCGCCACGGAACCGGTTCTTTGAAAGAAAGTGGCAGGCTGTGGGAGTGCAGTTTTTTAGAAGATTGAATGTGATTGAAGATATGTGTATACTAGTGTTGTGGCTCATCAGCGTCTAGTGTCAAGTTGCTTTTGAGCCTGGCCCTCTTGTGATGGCAGAGCTAGAAGGTGAGAGTTTGGCAAGACAATTGGGTGTCAGAAGGGTACCTTTACTGCAAAAGCTAAATTTTTTCTTTGGAGTAAGATATGGCAGAACTTTAGCATAATCACTATAGGCTCAAATCTCATATTCCAGGGGTCACAAAGGGGTGGTGTTTGGTCCCTAAGTGAGTGGATAATGGGCACCCCTAAACCTCCAATAGGCACCCCCTTGTGACTCCTGGTTTCATAACTTCATCTTTAACTTTTGTCATCTTTAGCAATCTTAGGATGGATTCATCACCCTCGATGAGGCAGCACGCACTGCAGGAAACAAACGGGCCAGGGCCAGAGACCAAACCCATCAAAACATCCAGGGAGGTTGGTGAGGTTGAGGTGGGAGACCTACCCTTGCGTATCTTGCAGGCAGGAGGGACTAAGCTCCAACAGTTCTTCGATGTAATCTTGGACCTGAAGCTTCCGAGTGCAGAGGATGTGCTTGAGAAGGTGATCTATACACATTGTGCCCAAGGTGACTACGAAAACCTACCAGCACCCTTTTGTTTAAATTTCAAAAGTGAATTGCCAGTACCGTACTTGATGCAAATCGTCATTGTCCCCACCACGACCCCTGAGAATGGAGACCTGAAGCAAACTACGACAATATCATCAAGCACATTTACGACATGCACAAAAACAAGTTGCCAGTGAACATGTGTGTGGATGCGTGCAAAGGTGTAGCACGCAAGTGGGACTATGGGCGGCATTTCAGGGTGGGTCTATTGGCTATGAACTATATGCTTGACCTCATGGGTGGCATGCAGATTCGGCATTGGGTAGTTCAACCAAAGTTCACCAAGAAACAAACTATAGGCAGTGCAGCCTGCAGCGCAGGGTACGACTTTATCCAGGAGGAAGGCCCGAAATCAAACAATAGAAATCAATTCATGGAGTGGACAGATGAGCAAATCCACACACCAGGCAGCCCCATTGAAAATTGGAACGAAGGAAAAGTTGTCACTGCCTTGCAGAATTGCATGAGAGGCAGACAAAATGCAAAAACCCTAGAGTATTGGCCCTTCACCTTCAAGAGCTTCAAAGCATGGTTTTTCAACAAAAATATATGCTCCCCAGCATCAGGCAGAATGCCATCACATGGCTAGGAAAAACTCGCACAGGAAAGTCCCTTGGTTCAAAGACCATCGCCTTCATGCAGAGCAAGTTTGAGATCATCCAGGATCAGCGCGAGGAAGAGCTCATCCCCTCCATTCTTACCGCAAAACACTTAGACTTTTTCAAGCCCGAGCCCTTGACTAAGTACAAGCCTGGTGTTTTTCACGATGGGCAGATGCAGAAAAATGACGTGTCCTTCCTCAAGGCTTTCTTGAACCCATCTGAAGCTTAGCATTATCATATTGCTATGGCTATGACTCAAAATGAAATAAGTGCACTGTTTGATTGAAGATATTGTATAGTTTAATCTTCGGCCATTAGATTATGTTAGGGCATCTACTAGGGGCATATGCTTTTTTTGAGTCATAGCTAGGTTTTTAAACATAAAAAGGTGCATCATAGGCATAAGTTTACTCTAAATCTTTTAGCACTCTGTAAGGAAGACAATGCCACGGTTTGGGCGCGTTGCTCGAGCGCATACTTTCAAAACGGATATGGTTGTTCAACTAAACCTTCATCACCCCTACTTAGCCCCAATGTCATTGTAAGAAGTTTTCGTTCATGATGCGCTAAGGTCGCATCACTCGTTTGAACAGGCGAATCAATTGGTGCAACACTGGGATTTGTGAGCAGACATTCGCGTGGCTGAAGAACTAGGCGTCCAACGAAATGCGAAAAAACTGGCACCACTTTATGATCATGTACCTCGCAAAGAAGCACAATGAAAGCACAAACAAGGGAGAGGCAGTCTACATCAACCGCTTTGCGAAGAAACGTCCAGCATCGTATGGGTGCAGCAAGTGTATAGACGTATGAGTGTGATGGCAGGTCCGGTGGCTGAAGATCAAACATATAAACATAATAAAGGAATACTTATTCCAAGTAACTAATCATAGCCGGATGTTCCTAGTTGGAATTCACATATGTATATTTATATGTATATAGGATCCATTCCTTTTTGATCTTCATGACCAGTATGTTCCTAGTTGCAGCGTTTAGCGATTGGCTCCTGCAAACCGAACTAGCGAAACAGACCGAAAGACAGTTGATGAGCGAAACAATTGCAAACAGGTCTCCGAAATACTACGAAAACAGTGGAAAACCAAAAAAACAAAAACACATTCAAAAAAAATAACAAACAAACAATAATATTCAAAGAGTCTTGGCTGGGACCCCCCCTTCCAGAGAGTCTGAGAATATTTTTTGTTTTTTGAAGGTTTTTGGCCTCCCTCGTTCCAAGAGTCTGCAAATATTGCCTTGTCTGCTACCAGGTTCAGGTGACCCAAATGATCATGCATATGGGAGTGCAGTTTATGTAGTAAAATCTAGGCCTATTGCTAATGAAAAGAACGTGAAAAACTGCACTCCCAGGAGCTGCCGTTCGGTTCTTTTTTGGGTCAACGGTCAACGGGCGGCTGTTCTACTGGCGGGTGAGGATGGACTTGGGGATTGATCTTTGGCCAAAAGCATGTCGAAGAAGCTCACCCAAGGCCGAACGCACCGCCTCCACGCCGCGCCGTTCGCGCCAAGGCGCTGAAGTCGCTCGCGGAGCTCAACATGACGACCGGCGCAGCTGTGGGGGTGTCGCTCGGCGCAGCGCAGCTCGGCGACTCTCGGGCCGGTCTTGTGCCAGGCTTCCGGGTGCGTCTAACGGTACACGGCGCGGCGCAGTGTCGCGGAGCCGTCGAATTCGGCCGCGAAAGCCGCGACGAGGTGATGGGTGGTTCCCTTGGCGACCCACGAGGTGCATGGAACGTGGTGTTGGGACGGTGTTTTGGGGAACGAAACGAACGGCCATGTCCTCTTCCAGGGCAGAATGGCACCTTTTGTCTGGCACAGGTTCACGATCTTCAACTGAAAGGCGATGGACAACTCGGTCGAATCTTTGGCAAACTTGATGATGTTTTCCACAAAAACTCCCGAAGCATTTTCCCTGGAACTATTTAGGCACACCTCCAGTCGTACCTCCTCAGGTTCGGTATGACTGGACCCTCCAAGCCCACCCCAAACACCTTCTCAGAAGGTACTTGGAGGCCTAGGGATTGAGGCACACCTCCCTTCAAACGTGTTCCAACGTTTCGGGGATAATCCCAGTCCTTGTTTAAGGGTGACCTGCAAGTGATCCACGTACTTCCTGGGTTTAGGCACACGACGACTGGTGAGTGGGTAAGCATTCGGCAACGGCAAGCATCCCGTCGCAGTCAAGAGCATGGCGATGGCATATGCAGAGCTGGTTTCGGCATGGCGAATGGCTCGGTTGACCACTGGTGGACAGCACGACAGCATAGGACCAGACACTTTTTGGGGTGTGACCATCATCCCATTCTGACCCCGACATGCACGGCCGGTGACTTCACATTGATAAACAGGCATTGAATCAAACTGTTTAAGAGAGGGTTGAAAGTGTTCGGTCTGCATACCGGCATACCACACAATATGGTGGATTCTGGTGGATTTAGATGGATTTAGCCATGTCATTGGCAGGAAGTAAGAACCATGAACCATGACTATGGACCATGACCTTTCTCTGGTTGCATTCTTCGAAACGGCTCCTTCACGTTCCATCATTCATCTGCTTCAGTACCGAAACTCCTCATTCTCTCCACAATGAACACAGCCCCGAAGGCAAAAGGAACGTCATCCTGGTTTCGCCCGGACCGTAATACGTATCGGCTATGTTGGATGCTGAGACCTCACCTGGCTTCACCCGGTTTCGAAACTCTTCAACCCCGAATCTCACCGATTCATCCGCCATAGGAGCAAGGACGCTACTAGGGGCTCCTGGCATCGCTACCAGGAGCAAGGAGGCTACGTTGGGGGTTCCTGGCCGTACTACTAGGAGCAAGAAGCTATTTGAAGCAAGGACGCCCGTGGCTTTTTGCCTCGCTCCATCCTGTGCCGATAGAACTTAGGCAGCATCCATGGTGGGCAAGACCTCAAACGAACACATTCCGGAGTCGCGGCGCGTGTGCAGCGGCTGGTGCGCGTTTGTGTGCTGGTGAAAAGGCTGGAGGTGAGCTCGCATTGAGCAGAACAGGATCCTTCGATGTTCCGACTTGTGCGCGAACGCCCCGGGCATCCCGAACGTCGTCCTTGACGTCGTTGTCCTTGGCGTTCCCGATGGCCTCTGCGGTGGTTGACTCGTTGACCAGAATAGCTATCACCTCCCCTACACTCACCTCCAGTCGTACCTCCTCAGAATGTATGACTGGACCCTCCAAACCCACCCCAAACGACAGAAGGCCTAGGGCTCCGTTTTGGGCGAGTGTTTGGATATAGATCATTGATTTTCTTCGAGTGATGTCGCCTCGAGACTCGGAACATCTTCTGGCAACATGTCTGGTCCACGTTCATCTTCTCCAGGTGGTGTCGAAACACCTGTAACATTGGTCTGTATATGTCTGTATCTTAACATTCCAAGCCCAAGCTGTTTCCCCGAAAGATCTGGAAACACTCAATGCTTTTCGATTCAATGCGATTTCGTGAGCACGAAGCCAGCACGTAGCACCACCACTGGTGATCAGGATGGAGCTTCACCGGCTCCGTAGCCTGAGTCGGAACCCGGGACCTTCACACTCCGTTGCCTTCTTTGGGTACCGACAATTCGGGGACCTTCCGAAAGTATCTCGGCAAGAGACCCCAAACAGTGTGCAGAAAGTCTAGAGATCTAGACGCATTGGGGTCCAGAGAGGTGATGGTGGCGATGAAGTGAAGGTTGAGTGTGAGTGCGAGTGTGAGTGAGTGTGGGTGAGAGGGAGTGTGCGTGAGAGTGAGAGTGTGAGGGAGTGTGAGTGTGAGTGAGAGTGGGAGGCTGAGTGAGTGCGAGTGTGAGTGAGAGTGAGTGAGACTGAAGGTGGGTGAGTGAGTGTGGGTGAGAGTGAGAGTGAGTGTGAGTGAGAGTGAGAGAGTGAGTGTGGGTGCGAGTGGGAGAGTGAGTGGGTGTGAGTGGGAGTGGGAGCGGGAGAGTGAGTGTGTGAGGGAGTGGGAGTGTGAGTGAGAGTGAGTGTGGGTGAGAGTGAGAGTGAGTGTGAGTGAGAGTGGGAGAGTGAGTGTGAGTGTGAGTGAGAGAGAGAGAGAGTGTGTGGGTGAAAGTGGGGGTGTGAGGGAGTGGTGTGAGTGTGAGTGAAAGTGGGAGAGTGAGAGAGTGAGCAGGTTCACCAAGAGGTTCACCAAAAGAGGTTCACCATGCGCTGTGCCTGCAACGAAATCCGGGCGCCGGCCACCGGCCCGTGTCCTTGCCGGAGGCCTTCGGTTGGTAACAGAAGGTTATTTAAGGGCTGACGCCCGACAGCCGGCCAGGGGCCCACCACTCACTGGTGGTCGTTGTTGTTGTTATGGTGGTGGTGGTGGTCGTTGTTGGGGCTACGTTGGCCATCTTGGGCCTATGTTGTTGTCGTGGTGGTTGTTGGGGCTACGGCGGCCCATCTTGGGCCTATGTTAGGTCATCTTGGGGACCTCTGTTGGATCATCTTCGGGTACATTTTGCGCAATATTTGTTGCAACGCGCCCATCACCCAAAAAATTGCGATTATGCAATTCCGCGCGGCTCGCATTACCGACACCCACAGTTTTTGCATTTCGTGACCACCACGAAAATTTTGCTCTACCACCCCACAAAACCCTATAAAACACAATGTTTTTGAACCTTATATATTCTATTGTAATTTACAAGGTAAAAGTACGCCGCGGGGTCGACCAGGGGTCGACACGATTTCGTGGGAGGTGGGTTGACGTGCATAATCGGCATTTTTTGGGTGATGGGCCCGTACTTTTACCTGAAGGTGTTGAAACAGGCGCCAACTTGGCTTCAAAATGAGTGTTTTTTTGAAAGTTTGTTGATAGTTTTTGTGTCGCTACGTTGACAAACAACGTTGTAAAACACATTGTTTTTGCAACATAAGAATTATTCGGGTGAGCTTTGGGTTGCAAGATTTCTGGACCTAACTGGTGCTCAAAGTTTTGCGGGTGAGCTGTAGGTTGCAAGATTTCTGGACCTAACTGGTGCCAAAAAAATTTCGGGTGAGCTTTAAGTTGCAAGATTTCTGGACCTAACTGGTGCTCAAAACTTTGCTGGTGAGCTTTCGGTTGCAAGATTTCTGGACGAAACTGTTTTTTTCGGGTGATCTGTAGGTTGCAAGATTTTTGAACCTAGCTGGTGCTCAATAAATTTCGGGTGAGCTTTAGGTTTAATATTTAGGAACTTAGTTTGTGCTCAAAAATTTCCGGGTGAGCTTTAGGTTTCAAGATTTCTGAACCTAACTGGTGCTCAAAAATTTTCGGGTGAGCTTTAGGTTGTAAGATTTCTGAACCTAACTGGTGCTCAAAATTTTGCGGCTGAACTTTAGGTTGCAAGATTTCTGGAGCTAACTAGTGCCCACAATTTTTCGGGCGAGCTCTAAGTTGCAAGATTTCTGGACCTAACTGGCGCTCACAATCCTGCGGGTGAGCTTTGCTTTGCGTCGATATAGGCCTAAACCTGAAATCCCCTGGCCAAAGACTTGGGCAGCGTTTAGTTATCAATGAAGATGTATCTAAGTGTATCTTTTTGTATCTTTATGTATCTTTCAGACCGGATTCAAAAGATACATGTATCTTAATGTATCTTTTGAAGCCGGTCTGAAAGATACACAAAGATACATTTTAACTCTTGCAACCTAACGTTCACTCGAACAATTTTGAGCACCGGTTAGGTTCAGAAATCTTGCAACCTAGAGCTCACCCGCAGAATTTTGAGCACCAGTTAGATCCAGAAATCTTGCAACTTAGAGCTCACCCGAAAAAATTTGGGCACCAGTTAGCTCCAGAAATCTTGCAACCTAAAGCTCAGCCGCAAAAATTTGAGCACCAGTTAGGTTCAGAAAGCTTGCAACCTAAAGCTCACCTGAAATTTATTGAGCACCAGTTAGGATGCAACCTAAAGCTCACCAGAAAATTTTTGAGCACCAGCTAGGTCCAGAAGTGTTGCAACTTAGAGCTCACCCCAATTTTTTGGGGCACCAGTTAGCTCCAGAAATCTTCGCAAAATTTTGAGCACCAGTTAGGCTCAGAAATCTTGCAACCTAAAGCTCACCCGAAAATTTTTGAGCACCAGTTAGGTCCAGAAATCTTGCAACCTAAAGCTCACCAGAAAAATTTTGAGCACCAGTTAGGTTCAGAAATCTTGCAACCTAAAGCTCACCCGAACAGTCTTGGGCGCCAATTAGCTTCAGAAATCTTGCAACCTAAAGCTCACCTGAAAAAAGTTGAGCGCCAGTTAGGTCCAGAAATCTTGCAACCTAAGCTCAGCCGCAAAATGTTGAGCACCAGTTAGTTTCAGAAATCTTGCAACCTAAAGCTCACCCGAAAATTTTTGAGCACCAGTTAGGTTCAGAAATCTTGCAACCTAAAGCTCACCCGCAGAATTTTTAGCACCAGTTAGGTCCAGAAATCTTGCAACTTAGAGCTCACCCGAAAAATTTTTGGCACCAGTTAGCTCCAGAAATCTTGCAACCTAAAGTTCACCCGAGAAAAATTTGAGCACCAGTGGTGTTCGTTTGGCGTTTCTGCGGGCCAAGGGCCC